TGGCATCCTATGACAGTTCCACGCTGGAATTCACTGAGCTCCTGAGAGCGGCCCATTCTTTCACAAATGTTTGTAAAAACAGTCTGCATGCCTAAGTGCTTGATTTTATACACCTGTGGCCAGGCCAAGTGATTAGGACACCTGATTCTGATCATTTGGATGGGTGACCGAATACTTTTGGTAATATAGTGTATGTCCATGAGACAAGTTCATTCCTGTTATTGCTTATGTTATAGTAGCTATAAAGCCTCTTTGCATCATGAGCCTCTCTTTTTTCTCTCTCATAGAGATAATAAGACAAAGAAAACACACACACAGGGTGCCATGTTACTGAGAAACTGGAAAGTCTTCTGTCCTAAAGACAGAAAACTTACTAACTGTTTACAAAGCAGTGACACTGGAGACTCCTTCCCTAAATGTTTAACAAACTTATCCGTTTTACAGAAGGCTTTACCATATCACTGATCACAGGTTTTTCTTTGTTAAATAACATGTTTTCTCTATATGTTTATTATTAGGTTTAGATTATGAGGAGTGTCTGCCATTCAAGTGTGTGTAAGTTGTTACTATAGAAACAATAACATATCAGAATGAGCGCATTAATATACACCTATCATTGGAAATACAGCCGGATATGCTATCTGAGCTGCTGTCAGCTCAAAAACCTTCAGATTTTGAGAATTAAACAGCGCTGTGGTATAAAGAATGTGGTTGCTTCACAGTTTCTGGTGTATAAACAGGGAAAAGGTAAAAAGCTCAGGAACTTAAGAGAGACATAAACCATGACCTTCAGCTTGGCATTTACAGGGAAAACACATGCGTTTAAGTGTTTTTATGTGCCTGTATGGCAGAGTGTAGGTGCAAAATCAAATCCCTGATGTGTTTAAAGTAACGGTTATACACTCACTTTTTACATCACATCACAACATGGGCACGTCTTGTGTTATTGTTTCTATAAGGACCATTACACAGCATGGTTATATCAGTGTCCATTCTCAGAGACGGATGAGCTACAGGACAGTTACACTCTTCTCACACACACACACAGACACACACGCTCCATAAAGCATGATGACAGAGAAATAGAGCAGAACAAAAGTGAAAAGGAGGTAAGAGCAGGAGAGAAAAGGACATAAAGAGAAAACATAAATGAGCGACAGGAAGAGACAGGGATGGTACTCATAGAGACAGACAGACAATATACATTATTAAACAGACGCCGTGTGTGTGTGTGTGTGTGTGTGTGTGTTAACAGTGCTTTTTCACCGGACAGTGAAACAAATCACTTATAATCCTCCATATTGTTGCTATTTCCATCACCAAGAGAGCCATGCCTCACCCAAGAGTACCCTTGTTTCCCTACGGTGCCATGTGAGCTGGGCAGCGATATGTGGGCGGAGTTAAATATAGTGCTGACTTTTGACTGGTCAAACACAATCACACTAAATCATCCTGTAATGTCTCTGGAATCGATTAGCAACATTCCTAAATATCAATCAGAGAATTAATACAATGAAATAATAAAAAAGAAAGGAATGAAAACTTCAAATAAAGAATGAAATTAGGAAAGTAAAGAAGAGTCATTGAAAGAAAGAAAGAAAGAAAGAAAGAAAGAAAGAAAGAAAGAAAGAAAGAAAGGAAAGAATTAAGAGGAGTCATCGAAAGAAAGAAAGAAAGAAAGAAAGAAAGAAAGAAAGAAAGAAAGAAAGAAAGAAAGAAAGGAACAATTGACAGGAGTCAAAGAAAAATTTCCCCTTTGGGGATCAATAGTTTCATCCATCCATGCAAAACACACACACACACACACACATGCGTGTGTCTGGTTGTTCGTTAGCGTCTGGAGTGTGTAAGGTGTTGGGCTCAGTTCCAGCTGAGTGAGAATGATTATAGCTCTGTGTGTGTGTGTGTGTATGTGTGTGTGTGTGAGAGAGAGAGAGAGAGAGAGAGAGAGAGAGAGACAGAGAGAGAGAGAGAGACAGAGAGAGAGAGAGACAGTTGTAAATATGGGTAATCTGAGAGTACATTACTACAACGCTCCATATGCCCCAACCCCCAACCCTGCCCCGGCCCAAACACACACACACACACTCTTCCCCCTCTCGGGCTTGATGGACTCACTCACAATGCTACTCTGGGGATCATTATCATTTCAGCTAAAGCACCTTTTGTAGTTTAAGTGTATTACAGATACAGACCAAAAAATACACTTTAAAAGTTTCAGTCAATAAATTATAAGAAAGCAAGCAAGCAAGAAAGAAAGAATATTAAGTATTTTTTTTAATTAAAAAGGTCAAGTCAATCCCAAAAGTACACACTACATGCAGGAATGAAAGCTTTTTATTCAGCCTCGTTTTTCCTCCTCAACACATACTAAATTATATTAATATTGACTGAACTTTGAATGAAACAGAAGTCATGCTAAGAACACATACTATGTCTTTTTGTGGAATGTCTGCTTTTAAGCGGTATTTAAAAGCTGACGTTCATTTAACACTGTAGGTGTTAATTCAGCATTTGCGATGTTGTTCACATGGAAATGTGTTGATATTTCTCAGGATTGCCAGACTGAATCTCTGCGGCTTGCTGTTGCACATTTGTTCTTATCTGTAGTTTGCCGTTTTATTTTTGGCTGATAAGCCTGTACATGTGCGGCTTATCTACTGCACCATACACTGTTATTCAAATTATAACTGACAACACGCCAGGTGAATCAGAGAGAGAGAGAGAGAGAGAGAGAGTCTGAGTGTGCTACCAGTATTACTAATACTGCTAATAATGACTACTAATACTAATAGGAGTAGTGAATATTGTTATCACTGAGTGTGTTACTGAGCAAGGCAATAAGTCTTCCACAGCACTGTTGGTTTCTCACTTCTGTTTGGTCAGAAGGTGATTCATTTTCTATAACAGCAGCTCTGACAGTTACTACGGCAAGGACAACTGTCTAAAATAATAAAAACACAACACAGTTCAACAATAACATCATAATATTTAGATAAAAAAGTCAGACTATTTTAAGTCATAATTCTGTGACAGAATGATGCATATCAGAAGATGATTCATTTTCTAAAACAGCAGCTCTGACAGTAGTTCCTGCAATGGAGTTTTAGGGCAACGTCTGAATAGATTTTATTCCTTATTCTTTTGACTTCAAGAATAAAGTCGTAATATTTTGAGAATAAAGGTCAGGGTCCCTGGAGGGCTACTCGGTAGGCCTCGGCATGCTCACTGCCACGGCCCGGGTTCAATTCCCAGCCAGGGAACCAACCCCAGCCCCTGCATTTGCACAGAACAGTGCACTCCCAGTGCCGGTCCCAAGCCTGGATATAAATTGGGGAAGGTTGCATCAGGAAGGGCATCCGGTGTAAAAACTGAGCCAAATCAAATATGCAGGCCAATGATCCGCTGTGGGGACCCCTAACGGGAGCAGCCGGAAAAACAACAACATTCTGAGAAAAAAGTCACAATATTTAGAGAATAAATTTGTAACATTTCAAAAATAAAGTCGTAACATTATGATAAAAAAACAGTGTTTTTTTTTTGTTTTTTTTTAAATGGAGCCACTTTTAGGTCTTTCAGAACTGAAGTACGGTGGACTTAAAGTACAAAACACTTTAACAAACCAAAAACACAAAGCCAATAAAAACACAACAGCAAAACCAAAACACAACCGCGAAACCAAAACACAACCGCGAAACCAAAACACAACCGCGAAACCAAAACACAACAGCAAAAAACTGAAAACACAACAGCAAAAAACAAACAAACAAAAAAAAAACACAACAGCAAAAACAAAAACACAACCGCAAATTCAAAAACTCAACAACAAAACTATGCTTTTTCAGTCTGCTGTTATCTTAGCCTAGCGAAAACGGTTGAATGATTTAAGTTTTATTTCTTCTGTTTCACTAAATGAAATGTTTTGCCTTTACTGTGGCAAATGCTTTGAAGACAATCCAACCTTCGCTGCAGTTAAGCACACGCTCTTTCTGAAACCGTGGTTAATGTAGCCGCATGTAAAATGTATTGGCTCGGCTTTTAGACACTTATTGGTAATAGCCCCGAATTCAGAAAGCTGAGCGTTCTGCGCGTTCCTACACAACCAAAGCAATTTAACTTTTCTTTAAAAATAAATAAATGAAGTTAGATAAATAAGTAAAAAACAAACAAAAAATTCAAAATATCTATGAGTATACATGTTAAAGATTTTTATATTTACGCTTTTTCATTTAAAAAACGGTCAAAAAAAAAATAATAAAAAAAAATATATATATATATATATATATATATATATAAAGAGACGCTGTAAAGCAAAGTATCCATGTATTAAAAATAATCAAGTAAAATAATCAACTAATATTTATGATTGTTAGTTTGTCCAATTACTTTTGAGCCTGTGAAAATGGAGGGACTCTGTAAAAAATGTCTGTAATTCCTAAACGGTTAATGCAATATTTTTGTTAAACCCCTTTAAATCCATAGTGGTGATGTACAGATGCAAAATTACAAAAATTTTATCACTGTCCAAATACTTATGGACCTGACTGTATATAAGTTTTGAGTAACAGACTGAGAGTTACACCAATGTCCTCACTTTTAGTTCAACACACATATTATTCCGCAGACAGACAGTTAGTGAATGCAAGCTCATTTATTTCTTTGATGATTCCTTCTATTCTCTGGGTGTCAGATGCAGCATCATCTGAGTAAGATATTGTTTTTTGATAAATGATGATATAAGTACAGTTTTTGGACTCAGACTTTGAGATGTGACTGTACAGATTTAGGGGGGTTTTCACTGAATCAGTGAGCATCTCATTTGCTCGCTTCATTATATCACTCTTATATTTTCTATAATACACTCACACATGCACACACGATGTTTTTTTTTAATTTTTTTTTTACCCAACACAAAAAGAAACTGTGTTCAGCTTCTTTACCTCTGCATTCTTCACCCTGCGTGTACTGTGTATGTGTCTGTCTGTGTGTGTGTCCCACTGCGCCTTCTCCCCTTCCTATATAAACAATGTGGTTTGGCTCATTCAGGCTGGTATTTACTTTAGCCCTCGTTAACCGAAACCCGATCCAACATCACTCCAGTTCTGGAGGTCTTTATCCCTCCATCAGCAGCCATTTACTCTAAAATAACACAGAACAAGACATCTAGACATCTATAGTTGGGTCCAAAGGTTTAACTTCATAAATCAAAAATGTTTTTTTATTTTGTTAGCTGTCAAACACTGGATTACATTAAAAAAAAAAAAAAAAAAAAAAAACACGGAGACAGAATCATATTTCAGCTGTGTGAGAGATCTATCTCAATCTCATGTTCACACACACAAATCGCTTCTTCATTTTTTTCAAATTGTTTTGGTTACATATATTTCAGTCAAGGACAGCAAAACATTTACAGAGTTTGTTATTAGGATTACAGTTTTTCCAAATTGTTTGCACACTAAAATTGGAACTTGAAACTCATTCACCAAAACCTGAAACTCATGTACCAAATCCCTAAACCAAGCACAATTCCTGATTTACACTCAGTTTTCAATTCTATATCACACTTTTTGCAAAACACTACACACATTTCTCTACATTACGCACAACATTCAACGCTAATCCCAATGGCAAGCTCTTTACACCATTTGGCAACACCCACTCCTCACCAGTGTAAACAATAGTTGCTGAATTTTTAGAAATCAGAAATCTTAGAAATCAGAAAAAAAATCTTAGAAATCAGAGCTTTAGCATTATAAAAGGCCACAGATGAGCTCTCCTGTTTTGGAGGAAAATGGAAGTCAATGGTGAAGCAAGAGTGAGAGTGAGAAGAGGAGGAAGAGGAGGATGACAAAGGACAGTTGTCTCAGATGAGATCAGGGCCAGACTGGTGGACCATGTGCTCAAACATAGACTGAGTATGAGGGAGGCTGGGCAGAGAGTTCTACACGGTTGCATCTATCATCTGAACATTCAGAAATGAGAACCGGTAAGTTACCTACCATCTGCACTATGCTCTTTATGTATGTATACTGTAGTATACTGCAGTCTGACATATCAGTCGGCCAGTGTTACAGTAATGTCATTTCATATATACAGAAAAGAGATTATTTTTGCTTACCGTAACCAATCATATCATATTTGTGGGTCTTCTGCAGAACTGCAAGATGGCCAGGCCATGGTGGAAGACACCGGCTGTTCACACCAGAGCAGGAGACCGCTTTTGTGAACATGGTGGTGGCAAACAATACCATTAGACTACAAGAAATCCAGAACCACATAATTGCAGACAGCACAATATTCAATAACAGTCACTAGGTAGGCTTGTCTACACTGGACCGTGTATTACAGTGAAACTGAATCCGGATGAAACAGGTCAGCAGGGTGCCATTTAACTCAGAGAGGGTTAAAGAACAGTGCTTTGAATATGTGCAAGTAACTGTTCTAGGTCTATTTCACATATTGTCTTGTATGTTTCAGAGGGTCTTGGAGCTGGATGCTGCTGCAATTCAGCACGTTTATATTTACATTGATGATGCTGGCTTCAGCCTAGATAAAATAAGGGGACAAGACAGAACATTATTGGCCATCATCCCATTGTGAATGTCCCTGGACAGCATAGAGGGAATATCACCATGTGCGCAGCCATTAGCCAGCATGGCATCCTCCATCACCATGCCAACCTTGGTCCCTACAACACCGCCCTTCTCATCACATTCCTGGACACACTGCATAGCATACTTATTACAGCCAAGCAGAGGGGTAAACCAGAGCATCCCAGGTATGTTGTCATCTGGGACGACATGAGTTTCCACCGGGTTGCTCTAGTAAACAACTGGTTCTTCAACCACCCACAGTTTATTGTTCTATACCTTCCACAATTTTCCCCATTCCAAAATGCAATTGAAGAGTTTTTTTCAGCATGGCCGAAGAGTTATTTCAGTATGACCACCATCCCCTCGCACGCATGCCTCTTCTCCAGGCACTGGAGGATGCATGGGGTGGTGTTGATTTGGGGGATTTCGGCAGCTGAATCCGTCACTTCAGGAGATTCTTTCCGCGCTGTTTAGCCAGGGAAAACGCTTGTGATGTAGATGAGGTGCTGTGGCCCAACCAAAATAGGAGGCAGGATGCAGCCTAATTTCTTTTTTTCTTACATTTCACATGTGTTTTTTTCTTTGTGTTTAGAATTTTGAAAGAATGATCCAGTTTCATTTTTTTATTTTTGTATAGAAAACCCTTTATCTTACTGGATGTTTTTTGTGGTTTTCTCCTGTCGGGTATGGAAAGTGTTACAAAACACAAGTGTTCAAAAATACTGCATTTTGGAAATAAATGACAATGTTTTTTGTTACTGTATTGCATTTGTGTGTTATTTATGTATATTGTAGTAGGTATACATTACTGTAACAATCTTTTACAACCAGCTACAGTGTAACACTGACAATGCGAAGGCATAAACCTACTGATGGAATACTCATAGTAGCGTTTTGTGTTGAGCACGTCAGTGTGTTTTGATTGGTAGACATTCATATGATGCATTTGTGTGCCATTTTTGGTGCAAAAAACATTTTGGAAAGAGATAAAACAGTTTTGAATGCCGCATTTTCTTTTGCTAGAGATTTGTAGAGTTTTGTGTTTGTGGTTTTGTGTTTAGAGTTTTGGGAAAATGGGCCAAAGATTCAGCAAACATGTGTAAACAATTGGAAAAAAAACTGTAATATATTTAGCATGATCATTAAACTCGGATAAAAGCATGAACAGGATGAGGATGTAAGAGCAGGATGTTAGGGCTAGTACAGGCAGAATCACAATACAGAGCCAAAAAACATCCAGTAGTCAGAATACTAGAAGGGTAGAAGAATAAATTGCAGCTCTATCCAAATTTGAACTAGAAAACAAGAATAGGAAAAATTAGAAATTACAATGTTCTCAAAGGTTGAGGGTCAACCAGGGTAATCATCATGAAGGAGTTTTTTTAAAATGCCAGGACCTTCTCAGGGTCCAGAAGGGAGCAGTGCTCTTAAGTTGTTGGGGCAGGGTGCATAGCAGCCAGTTGGTGGAGCAGGGCTCTTAGAGGCCAGTTAATTGAGCTGGATTCTTAGATGCTGGTTGGTGGGGCAGTGCTCTTAGAGACTAGCAGTTTAGCAGAGGTCCAAATGGTGGTTTGTTGGGCAGGATCCTTAAAAGCCAGTTGTTGGAGCAAGGTTCTTAGAGGTTGGTTGATGGAGCAGGGTTCTTAGAAACTGTCAAGTGGATCAGCGTT